TACAGTTTTAAATGAATTTTAAAACAAAACTCATAAATGTCTACTTACATTTCACATGCATTCAGTGGAACAGGTTGTTAATACCAACCAATTAAAAATAAGAAACTACAGTTCATAAATTCTGTTTGTTTTTGCACAAAGAGGATAGTAGGGGCAAACACAGGGAATAACACACTGATAGACTGCAGTGCAATCCAGCTTGGTGCAAAGTATTTCATGTATTGTGGGCTGCTGTGCAGGATTTTCTTGGCAGTCAGTGGATTAAACTTGACATTAGCCCATCTTCAAAACAGACGTTAGGGAACAAAGAGGTCCCAGTGTTCTGCTGGTGAAAACACATTATTGGGTTAGTGTGACAATATACACCTCTGTATTCTCATCCTACACACTACTGTAATCATCTTTGTACAAAATATGCCATGAGGTATCATTTGAAAACTAATGACTCACTGGTCAACTATATCATGGTGAAATGTATATAGCGACATTATATGTAAAGCTGTGAATTTCCCATGAATGATGTTGGTAGCACATTTTGAAACCCACATAGCTCTGAGTAGGCAGGAGTGGTCAAGCAGGTCTATCTTAAACAACGTTTATCTCCATTTGTATATAAATAGTAAACAAGGTCCTTGAGACAGCAAGAGGGAGACAAGACACTTCAGAGTCTATAGCTAAATCTATGTCAGTGTGTCATGAAAATGTTCAGCTATGTAATTACCTTTGTGATTCCTCATCATCCTATGCTATGGTTTTTGCATGATCAATTAATGAAAGTATACACAGAGGAGAAGAAAGACAATGGGGGCACCTTCACCCCCAGACTAAATCACACCTTCTTTACTGATTGAATAAACTTTGCTGTGATAGGTAAGCCTTAGGAGACCCCATTTCAAAGGGAGACTGGATTTAAAATATGAAGGGAAGCCCTGCCCATCCCTCTCTCTTTCACCTAACCAAAAAAACAAAAAACAACAACAACAAAACCCCACAACAAAAACCCCAGCCTTTGGACTTCAGGAGCAGATCCTGGCCTGAGAATTTGGTCAGCTGTGTTACTGGGAACATGTGGTAAGGGTTTTCACCTTGAACCAAGTCTAGTTTGTTAAGTTTTCATACTAAGAAGAGTTTAATCTTTATTTCTCTTGTAACCATTTCTGACTTTGTCTTATACTTGTATTCACTTAAAATCTCTCTCTTCGTAGTTCAAGAAACTTACTTTATTCTTTAATTAAAACTAATCCAGTGCTGCGGTTGAAATGGGCTGCATGGAAACTCCATTTAAAGAGGCAAACTGTTGGATATTGTTTCGTCATAGGTCAACAGACCTAAAATACCTAAACTGTCCAGGAGAGGGTTGGACAGTGAAGAACACATAATTTTGGGGGAAAGTTATGACTGGGAGTATGTTGGGGTCACCCTGCAAGTAGTAACCAATGGTGCTGGAAGTCAAGGTGTGGCTGGTGTGTTACTGACAGGATGTTGGGGTCAGAGTTGCAGGACCAGGCTTTGGCTATACACAGATAGGCAAGGTGTGACCTGCATGCTGGGAGTCTGTTTGTGAGCATCCCAGGTGGGAGCTATAGTGGCAAAGCTTATGAGGCACCCAAGGTGCTGGGCAGGGGTGAAACAATCCCTCACAGGTCTGGATTTCACCCTGGAATATCATAGTTAGATACTCAACTGGTGTAAATAAATTCAGTTACATTGATTCCAGTGAAGTTAGACTGATTTACATCAGCTGCCGAACTGGTTTAAAATCTAATAAGAGCCATCAAATGTCTCCAAATGTGTTTTCTTTCTCTTTAATTATATATAAAAAAGTCAAGAGCAGACAATATCAATTTAGTACAGTCAGAATTTATGACAATAACTTGCAAGATTCTGTAGGCTATAATAAAGAAACATGTTTTACTGTAAATTATAATGATTTTAAGCTTGAGTGCTCTTATTAACCCCCTCTTTTCAGACTGGAAAGCACTTGCAAATATCCAGTGCAAATCACATACAATTATCTGACTTATGAGGAAAGGTGAAAAAACCTGGGCATGTTTAGTTTTGTGAAGAGAAGACTGAGGGGGACCTGGTAATGGTCTTCAAATATGTTAAGAGCTGTTATAGAGGGGATGCTGATCAATTGTTCTCCATGTCCACTGAAAGTAGGACAAGAAGTAATGGGCTTAATCTGCAGCAAGGGAGATTTAGATTAGATATTAGAAACAAAATTCTAACTATAATGGTAGGTAAACTCTGGGATAGGCTTCCAAAGAAGATTGTGGAATCCCCATCACTGGAGGTTTTTAAGAATGGGTTGGACAGACACCTGCCAGGAATGGTCTAGGTCTGTACAGTGGGCTGGACTTGATGCCGTCTCAAGGTCCCTTCCAGCCCTACATTTCTATTATTCTATTTTTAATGTTAAAGCTGTGGTTATTTTTATTTTCAAATGTGCTGTTATAGTAGTCCTTTTTGATTCTTAGACAGGATAAATTCCACCAATCCAGATAAGAGAATGGCACAAATGACTTTGTTTGCTTTATGCCCTTTGTATTAATATGACCAGCCAAACCCCTGCTGGCTGAATACCTTTGGGGTGAAATCCTGGTCCCATTGAAACCAATGGGAATTTTGCTATTAATGTCAATGGAGCCAGAATATTACCCCTGTTTTTATTGCTTGACAATTTGGTAAGAGCCTACTTCAGCTGATACTAGCTGCTGCGGCCTGAACAAGGGACTCAAAAGCAGCTGCCCTATCACTTAGATTGCAAGAGAATCTCCATCAGCTGTAAACACTAGTGTATAGGAAAACTTCAGACAGGAGCACTGATAATTCAACAGTAGTAGGCTACTAACTGGAGCTGCTTGAATAATATCAGCAAGATATTTGTGAATATTTTGTTGAATAAAAGCAGTATGTTGGGCTCACAGTCGTTTTGTTGGATCATATTAAAGAAGTTCTGTATTAAAATCACAAATGAGTTTGATTCCCCATAGTTTAAATTCCAGGGTATTACTAATTAAGAAGTCTCTTGGTTTTTGGTACTGTTTCTCTCCCTCTATGTGTGAAACTTGCAAGCTGCTAATTGTGTTAGTACATTCTAAGACAGAGTCTGTTCTCAAAGCAATTCACAGCGAGAGAGACTCAAAGCAATACTCTAACAACAGAAACAACACCCAGAGACTCCCCACCCTTTTGTTGTATTAACAATTGTGATTAAAATAGAGGTAGAGGATGTATGTGGATGGATGCTTGGTGTGGATAATAACTGAATGATGAGGGAGGTGCCAGCCTAAGAATCCAGTGTCCATCGGCTGAAGAAGGCGTCAAGTGGAAATAACCAGAGGACCCCCCGGAGGGCAGACTGGAATCCACCCAACAGCCTCAAGAATGGGAGAACCAAAGAACAAGATAACATCTTGGAGCCGTCAGGAATGTGCTATCTGCTGATTGATTCAGCAACAGCATGATGAAGCAATTCCCATAGACTGGCATAGGAAGAAATTCCTATAAAAATAGACTCTAAAAAGTGAGAACTTTGGGGGGGTCTGATTCTGCAAACCAACTTCCAGGAGCATCAGATGAGCATCTGACAAGGCCCTGCTCCCTCCTCATGTCCAGGCCACCTGGCCAGTGGCTTGGCATGAGCAACTCTAAGGCTGGTAACTATGATAACAACCTTGCAGAACCTGTGTGTGTGTGTGTGTGTGTGTGTGTGTGTATGAATGAATGTGTGAATAAATATGAGATTGAATGGAATGTTATAACTAGATCTAACTGCTTTCTATGATTCTTTCTGTATTCACAATAAATGTGGTATTTTGCCTTTTTCCCTTTAATAAGATCCTGCTGGTTTTTATTTTATTGGTACAACAGTTTATGATGTCATATTATTTGTTGTCTGCAAGGATTGGGACGGACACAAAGTATTCATAGACATGTTAGTTATTTCCTAAAGTTTCAAAAAGTTTAGCATCATGATTGAAATAATACATACCAACATGTGCATTATTCACTATTTATGATTAATGATTAGTTATTTATCTGTTTAAAAGATTTCAATCATTCAGTCAGAGAGTGACACCAAGTGATTAGGTAACCAGTCACACAGTGAATGGTCAAAGTGAACAGTTCACCAGTCAGACATTTGTCCATGCCAATTATTGGATGAATACTTATGAATAACAAATATATTAGCAGAAACAGCAGCAATTAGCAAATGTTTCATGACAAGAAAAAATTCACAATGAGTTATTCAACCAGCTCTGTTACTAGTCTTTTCACTTTAGCTGCTTCTGCTGTTTTTCTCCACAGAGGATGAGACACTGTTAATAAGTCTCTAACCTTTTTAATTTTTTAATTTATCTTTGTGGGGGAGGAAAAAGATGGTTTAACCAGGAATACTCTCAGTTGACCAGATGAACATAATAGTTTTGCCCATGTGTAGCAGTTACCATCAAAGGATACCAATGTGATTTAAAACAAATTATTAGTGTTGTACCACAATGTCCCTGTGATATAGTTAAATATCGTTAACCTAATTTTATGCATGAGGAAACTGAAACACTGGGAGGTTACATGCTTGTCTAAGGTCACAAAATATGTATCAGAATTGGGAAAGTATTTGATCGCTAAATCCCAGTCCGATGCCGTAATCACAATCACAATCCTTATTTCCAGTGCAATAACATCTGTTGCTACCCTGAACCTTCTTTTGTTGCACTGGAGATGAGGCAGCAGACATAGCCTTAGTACTTCATTAGTTTCCTTGGACTTTATCTCTCTGTTCTGAACTGTAATCACAGCAGTTGCATTGACCTGCTGGTTCATGGCAAAGAGCAGAGTGTACGGAACGGAACAGATTCAAAAATAAGATTATTGTAGTCTTCTCACCATTCTACGCTGGATTGTGGGCACAGGCTACAACTAATATTTCTCAAGTGATGTCACTTTGCAGTAAAGTCCCTTTTCCTCCTTTGCTCACCTAGGACCACATCATTTTGCCACCGTTACCCCATAAAAGGTATGCTGCACGCACGATAATGATCTACTCTGCTTTTCTCCACGTGGACTGCTTCTATGTTGCTCTCTTAGTGATGTCTGCATAACCTGTAATCAAGGTAAAATCAACATGGATTTATAGAAAATAGATCTTGTCAAACTAACTTGATTTTTTTGGTGAGATTACAAGGTCCATTAATAAAGGTAATAGTGGTGATATAATATACTTAAAAGTCTGGAAGGCATTTGACTTGGTATCATATGACATTTTGATTAAGAAACTAGACCAATAATAAATGGTCTCAAATATTGCCTCAAAATAAAATGGTAAACAGTGAATTGTCATTCAAGTGGGTGTGCTTCTAGTGGAATCCCATATCGGGATTTGTTCTTGGTTATATGCTAATTAATATTTTTATCAATTATCTAGAATAAAACATAAAATCATTACTGATAAAGCTTGCATATGACGCAAAATCTGGGGGAAGCAGTAAATAAAGAAGAGGACAGATCACTGATACAGAGCAATCTGGATTGCTTGGGAAACAGGACACAAGCAAAGGTTATGTTTTCTAATACAACTATATGTAAGATCATACATCCAGGAACAAAGAATGTAGGCAACACCCTGCAGGATGGGGGACTCTATCCTACGAAGCAGGAACTCTGTAAAAAGACTTTGGGGTTATGGTGAACAATCAGCTGAACATGAGCACCCAGTGCCACACTGTCACCCAAAGGGCTAATATGAACTTTATAAATAGGAAATATCATGTAGGACTAGGAAGGTTAGACCCCCTATTACATGTGTTCATTGAGTCTGTTCCGATGTTGGACTCTCAGGCCGTCAAGCCTTTGTGATTATGCAGGAACTGACTAAATGGCGAATGATCACTACGGCCGACTATCTGGGTAAGCACTGAAAAAGAAGAAAAGAGGGCTGACAGTTCATAACCACCAGAGACAAGAGGTCATGACAGCATTCTACATGGCTAGAGACAGATGAGGATGGGCAGGCTGTGACCACCAGATAGAAGAGGACCAGTAGAAATTCCACACAGTTAGAAGTTTCCAATCAGTACCATGTCCTTATTGTGGAAACTATGGAAGATACCTCTCAAAATCGAGCTGTTCCAAGAGACTGGAGAGATGTACCTATGGATGCAAGCTTGGCACAACCTGTAAGAAAATCAGGTTTGCCCACAAAGAGTTGTCCAACTGATCTAGGAAGATAGATGATCCTTGCTGGTCATTCAACACTCCAAAGAATCAAAAGAACATTCTGTAAGGGACAGGTGGACAACAAGATGGTGAGCTGTCTTCCCAGAGCTAAGACACGAGACATCACTCTAAGACTGGATAGACTTCTGAAGTCGATGAGCAAGCATGCTTTGGTGATGGTTCAATATTAGCATTAATGACACTGAGGCACAGGATATCTCACAGATAATAGGGAACTTCAAAGAATGCATAAGTGTGCTGAAGAAGAAGAAGATTGTCCAAGAGATCATCTCTAACATCATTCCTGTCCCAAAACTGAAAGAAGACAGAAAGCAGAAAATCTGGTAAGTACACTGCTTGCTAGGTAAGTGGTATAGGATGTAGTGTTTTGGCTTTTTGGAACATTGGTCCATCTTCTGTGGGAAAATGGGGCTGTATAGTTTGGATGGCCTATGCCTCAGTAGAAAGGGAACCAATCTTTTTGGGTACAGGCTAGCTAAAGTAGTCAGGAGGGTTTTAAACTAATAACAGAAATGAAGGGTAAAAACAAGGAAGACAGGAACACTTATTTAACACAAAATTGAGAGACTGAGAACAAAATTAATCAGGAAACCAAAGGAGGTGAAAAAAAAGAAATTCTTTAATTGCCTATCTACAAATACTAGGTAACACACAATAGGAAATGGAATTGCTCAGTACTGAGCAAACATTTTATCTAGTTGATATAACTGACACCTGGTAGGATAATTGGCATGGTTGAAATGTTAAGAATCAATGGTTATAACCTATTTAGGAAGGATTCAGTGGGGAGAAGGGGTGGGAGAATGGCATTCTATGTCAAAGCTGCATTACCTGTTTCCGAGTCACTGGTAACTTGAAGAAAATGATCTTGATGCTTACAGATCAATGTCCTAACAGATAAAACATAAGATGGTGTATTAGTTTGTGTCTGCTACTGACCACCAAATCACACTCGAGAATAGGATGACCGCTTACTTATACATCTATCTATAAAATGCAGGGGGAAAAAAGTTTCATGATCATGGGTGACTTTAATCAGAAGGATGTATGCTGGAGGTCTTATACTGCCTATATTAAAACATCCTTGGAATTTCTAAATATTAATATAGATGACAATTTACTAATTCAAAACATGTTACAACTAACACAGAGGATTTCTGTATTACTCCTAATCTTGGCAGATAAAAAGGAACCGTCACAGAACTAAACATTTATGGTAGCTTAGGAACAAGTGATTATGACTTGATCACATTTGTTGTGAGAAAACAGAAAAAAGTCTAGACCACACATATATATACACACACGAACTTGATGCCTTAAAAAGCTCAGTTTAATAAAGCTGTAAACAATAATAAGCCAAATCAGCTGGGAGGAAGAATTTAATAAGAAAAATGTGAATGATAATTGGGAATGGTTTAAGAACACTTACTAGATGCCCTAAAAGCCAGTCTCACAATTGGTTGGAAAATGACCTGATTTAGAGGGGGAAGTGAAGGCAGCTATAATATACTATCAGATATAAAACAATTATCGTAATGAAGCTAGGAGCACAGGACACAAGGAAAAAAAATCTATAACCAGCAGGGTTAAGGACTGTAAGGTGGATTTTAAAAAGTATATTAGGAGCAAAATGAATACCAACAATTGTATTTGTTTATTATTAGATGAAAATTGTAGAATTACCAGTAATAATTCAGAAATGGCAGAAGTGTTCAATACATATTTCTGTTCTGTATTTGGGGAAAAACAAATGATGTAGTTATCTCATGTTTTGAGAATAAAACTCTTTCCATTCCACTAGTAGTCATATTAATATTAGCAGGTATAGTTCACTTGACTACAAGAGTTTTAAAAGAGCTGGCTGACTAACTCACTGGACTGTTAAGGTTCAATAAATCTTGGAACACTGAGGAAATTTCAGTAGATTGAAAGAAGGCTAACATTATGCTAATATTTAAAAAGGGTAAAGGAGATGACCCAGATAATCATAGGCCTGTCAGTGTGAGATCAATCCTGGGCACATTATTGTTTTACTGTTTATTGGCCCGTGCCAGCCTCTACATAAAACAATTAAAGTAGGGTAATCTAATCTGTGTCAAGTAATCCGTTCTTACAGGAGCGGGGAGCCTATTCAGGAAGTAGTGATTCTGAAAAAGATTTTGCGGTCATGGTGGATAATCCTCTGAACATGAGCTCCTATTGTGACAGAGCAAATGCATACAGAGGGGACTCTCAGGTAATATAGAGGTTATTTTGTCTCTGAATTTAGCACTGGTCTGACAACTGCTGGAATATTGTGTCTAGTTTTGATGTCCACAATTTAAGAAAGATGCTGAAAAACTGGAGAGGGTTCAGAGAAGAACCACAAGAATACTTAAAGGATTAGAAAACATGCCTTACACAGCAGTGGTTTTCAAACTTTTTTTCTGGTGACACAGTTGAAGAAAATTGTTGATGCCCATGACCCAACAGAGCTGGGGATGAGGGGTGTGGGAGGGGCTCAGGGCAGAGGGATGGGGAGCAGGGGTGAGGGCTGCAGGGTAGGGCTGGGAATGAGGGGTTGAGGGTGTGAGAGGGGGGCTTTGGACTGCAGCAGGGGATTGGAGTGAGGGAGGGGATAAGGGCTCTGGGCTGGGGGTTGGTTGGGGGTTGGGTTGGTTGGGGGATGGGTTGGGGGTTGGCTCTGGGCTGGGGGTTACCCCAGTAGTTAAAGCACTTAGCCAGAATTTGTGAGACTCAGGTTCAATTCCCCTCTTGCTGCCAGAGGGAGACAAAGGATTTGAACAAAGGGGTCTCTCATGAGGGTGCTCTAACCACTGAGCAATGGGATATTCTGATGTGGGGCTCTCTCAGTCTCTCCTGTTGAAGCTGTTCCACTGTGTATAAATGATGAAAGAGTGATTGGAACAGGGGGACTGGACCTTGCATCTCCTATGATGCCCTAACCACTGGACTACAGAATCATTCTCACTCTCTTCTTCTCTAACCCAATGACTATTAAGACCATGATCACACCCCATCTCTAATGAGATGGGCCTCTTGCCCCTTTTGTGTTTCTCTTCCCTTGCTTTATTAAAACACACACAAGATATGTTTTCATGAAACCAGGATCTTTGTTTTGTAAGCTTTTATCTGTTCTGTCTGCTTATTCCTCCCTTGAAGCCATAATCCTCTGCTTGCAACATCACAGTTAGTTGCAGACATGACTGGGATAGCACATTCAGAAGATTGTGACTTCAAGTGTGGAATAAGCAGCAAGAGGAAATGAACCAAGAAATATAAATCCCGTCTTCATGCAAATATCTTTAGCAATAAAACTAAAACAAAGCAGAACCAAACCCCCTCATACACAAAGGGAGAAACATATGTTTTCAATGTTGTTTCCAAATAGACTGAGATTGTCAAAGGAGCCTAGTGGGGACTGTGACACTCCATACCTCCAAGGAGCACCCTGGAACACCCATATTCACCACTGTTGTAAGGACATAAGAATCGCCATTATTAAGACCAAAGGTACATCTAGCCCAGTATCCTGTCTTCCAACAGTGGCCAATGCCAGGTGCCCCAGAGGGAATGAACAGAACAGGTAATCATCAAGTGATCCATCCCCTGTCACCCATTCCCAGCTTCTGGCAAAGAACATAATATAATTATAATATGTTTTCTACAAAGTATGCCTTATTAGGTGTCATTTTAAAAGTCTTGATCTGTTAAACATTAATATCCTGTTGGATTGTATGTGCTATCATTGTATGTGAAGTTATTAAGTCTTGCTATGTGTGTATTTTACTGTAATATGTTGTGAGATTGGGAACAGGTACATCAATGGAGCATCAACACCTATCAACGAAATAATCTTCTATCCTAGGAACTGCATACAATGGAGACTTCTCAGAGAGAACATGTAGACAACAGACACTGTTTGACCAATGGGTAATGACTAACCCATCTCACAGTAAAGATCTTTCCAACAAGCTGGAAAAAACTATAAAAGAGAGGAAGTAACATCATCACTTGGCCTCACTCCCCCCCACAACTCAACACCTGGAAACATGTCTGGAGGACAAAGACTTTGAACTGGGGGAGGGTGGTCTGAGACAATAACAGGTTCCAGTCTGTTTTTGAGGATCTGTGATCTGTTTGTACCATCTATCAGGGTGAGACACTCTTGATTCAAATCCTGTTTAGTTTGTAGAACTCAGACTATGAATTTATTTTTGTTTCTTGAGTAACCAAATCTGATTTCCAAGCCTGCTACTTATAATTAATTAAAATCTATATTTCTATAGTCAATAAATCTGTTTTATGTTTTACTTAAAAGTGTGTTTGTTTGGGAAATCTCAGCTCAGTTTACAAGGGCTAGTGTGTAATCTCTTCAGATTGAGGGAGGGGCAGACAGTGTAATGAATTTATACTGGCCAGGCTTCTGACCAGTGCAAGAGAGTACAGTTCTGGGATACAAGACTGGGGAGCTAGGGGGGAATTGACTGGATCCTCTCTATTGTTGGTTCATGAGTGGCTGCAAAAGCATTCATGTAACTCAGTTGCATATGTCCCTGCCTGTAGATGTCTGTGTAAGTGCAGTACCTGCCAGAGGTTTTGACCCTACTGGGTCAAAATCTAGATCTCCCAGTCAATGCCTTTGCCAATGCAGAATCATTCCCTACTGCACACATTCTAGTGTTTTCTCTAATCTTGTTTTAAAAGTTCCTAAGGATAAGGTTCCACTGCCAAACATATTTCACTATCAGAAAACATTCCCTGTTTAACAATTTTTAATTCTTAGTTTCATTAAGGACTTCTGTGCAAAAAGAGTTACAAGTTCAAGAACAAAATCACAACGTCTATTTATCTTCATACTGCTCCCCAGTTGAGATCGGGAAATTATTTCCCTCAACACTAAAAGGGTGGTCTTTCACCAACACATAATATCTAGATCCCTTCTAGAGTCAGGATTAGCACAAGATTGGGACATTGGAGGCCACCATTAAGGTGAAAGAAATGACCATGTCAGACGCAGACCAAAGTATTTCTAAAAATGTTGGGCTTGTGACTTTTTGAAATTCTTCATGACATTGTTGCCCCTTTGGCCTATGTGGTTGGCCCAATATTTGGAGCCTTGCAGGGTTTTTTCCACTAGGAGGAGAAATCAGGGATGCAAGTCAGGAAAATCCTTAGTAAAGTCTTGTTTATTTACAAATATGTATTCAAATCCTGTTTCCCTGAACACAGAAGAAACAAACAACTCTGGACAGAAATCACCAAATCTGCAACTCCAACAAGCTCCTTGCCCAATAAAGCTTTGTTTCCTTGCTTCCTCTCTGGATCACATTCACAACTCCTCTGTAGGCTTTCTCCCTCCAGACACACAAACTGCAACCCATTTTTCTATCCCCCTGCATTTGCGACCAGGGAACCTGCTCAGTCCACACAGTCTTGTCCTGACCTGCCATGAGACCTAGTGTCTTGGGCAGTAATTTCCATTTTTTGCAGCCATTTTTATTACATACGGGGGGCTTAATTGCACCTTCTGACAGTCTGGAAAGAATGCTTAGCACAACCACTGACTTTAATGAGAACTCTGATTGATTGTGAATCTAAAATCCAAACCCCTTGATGGCAGCCATTCCCTACTTTCAACATAGCCTTATATAAAAAGCACCAGAAAGGAGTTTCTGCAAAGGTTTTTCTTTCTTTCTTGGTTTTATCGTTGAAATACCCGGAATGCCAGAGCTGATATTTCCTGGTTTTGCTAGAAAGACTTGTTTGGGGATATCAGAGAATATATAATAAACTTTCACACCCAAATTGAAGTATGAGGTTGCTGACAAGCACATCAATTCACCAAAGAGTTGATTAGTTATTTAAATTAATAGCCGTTAACAAAAAAACAAATTAAAATATAGAGATTTAAACTGTATGACTAATAACTTGTTTCCCCTTTCAACTGCTCAGTTTTCACTCTTTTGATACTTGTAATAGTATCATTTTACTAGTACTCGAGCCATCATAGAGACTTCCAGATAGGACAGGATCTAGACATGTAACGTAAGAAAGAAGAAAAACACGCCATTTATTTCTAAATACCACGTAAACATGGCTTTGGGTTATTTAATGCAGATATTGTGTGTGCTTTCATAACATAAGTGGAAATAGCTTTAAATAAACTTTGAAGGGTACCCTTTGACTAGTCTGTGCTAACAAGGGGATTTGTTTTAGCATCAGCAGCAGCTCTAGCTTTTCTGTAAAATAGTCTCTTTATTACTTTATTGAGATCCAAATGGATTTCACGTGGAAATACCTTATTATGTTGCTTTTGCCGCTATTCAAATGATTGTGAGTTGTTAGATTTGAATCAAATTACTTCTTAAAAAGTAAGCTGTGCCTTTCATTAATAAGTGAATAATTACCCTGAAGAACTTTGCAGGTACACAGTGCCCTAGATTAGTGATATCACACTGTCATCAACTGCTGAGAAATGAATTCTGAGTTTATAATCAGCTTGTTTCCATTAGCAATCAAGCTTTCTTTATGTTCTTATATTAAATCCAAATACACATGCTTAATGCTTATTGGCGAATTTGCTCTAAAAGCTTTGCTTCACATACACTCCAAAAGGGGCATGTACAGAATGATAATACATGAGGCAGCATAGTTCTCTTTCATTTAAAAGACAGCAACCCGATGTTGAGATTGATCTTCAATCCATCCTCTCATTATCAGTCCCCACAATTTTGTGAGAGAAAATAAATGCCACCTCTCTGGTGATACACAAACACTTGCATAACCACACAAAGGTATCCATTTTTGTTTATATACTCCAAAGCAAGGTGTGTGTGTGTGTGTGTATGTTAGGTGGGGAGGAGACCAGAATCAGGATGTGTGGCCTGTCTATTGCCACACCATAGTTCAAGAAGCCCATTGCATCTAACACATTAATTATTTGCTACAGATTGCTCAGAATCACATTTCTCTGCAGCAGGACATACTTAATGACCTTGCACACCTGGATGATGACAGCTTCCACTGGAGACTTCCCAACACCAAACAGATTGCCACTGACTGATAGCAATCTGGTTTTGCAAATTGTCACAGCATATCCGCCAGCTGTTTCTTCACTGTCTCAGTTTGGTGTCTCTGCACTGGGGGCTGGGATGAGCTCAGGACACAACTTCAGGAATGTGGTCTCCCATATGCAAATGTTCTGCAGCTACTGTTAGTCATCCCAAATTTGTATCACAATCTGGTCACACCACTTGTTGCTTGTTTCACTGGCCCAGAAATGCCATTCCACTATATAGAGCTGGTCAGTGAATGTCATCAGCACCTGGCGATTTTCATTCCTTGCCACCATCCCACTCTTCCTCAGTTTTCTCATTTTCATTGCTGCATGCCCAGACACTATTAGAGTTGCTGAAGTTCTGCAAATACAGAAGGTCAGGTGCATTGTCTTTAGAACAGACACAAAAATTCTGTGATCTCTTTGGCATCCAGGCTTCTACCAATGAGATGGTTTAAAAAGGTTGAAAACAAGTGTGAGGAACCATGGGAGTCAAACTCCCACAGTTCCCTGAGAGGAGTGCTGGATCCTGCAATGGACTTCCAAAATATCCCCAAAAGCAATGAGGTATAGTTGGATGCCAACCCTCAGCCTACCTATGTGCCATGTCCTTTTCACTAACAGAATCTCTTGCATCTAGGAGACACAGTAAAGGCAGCCAAGTGTGTATATGCTCTAGTGACATTGCAGTGCTGGCAGCTGTATGCCACTAAAGTTGCTACTGGTAAAGTTTCTAGTGTAAATATGACTTTACTGTGCTAGTCTTCAATGTCTAACCATCCAATGAAGAACATGATATGAGGTATGAAACGTACCCCTGTCAGTCAACAAGCACAATAATACTTTCTATGTCATGCAAGTGCCATAAAGAAATTTGACCACTATTGAGATTCACAGAGCCCCTGTGGGACAAGGAAGTATTAACACCTTTTAGAGACGGTTGAACTGATGGGTGAACTAAGAAACAAATCAGCATTGATGCTAGAAACAGAGGCTTTGAATCTGGACTCCAGGCTTTTCTTCTAGACAGACTGCCTAGCAGCCTTTAAAATTAACCATCTTTCAAGTGAGCGGACAGCCTCAATCAATTATGCCAAGGATCAAATTCAAAAGAAATGAATCTGAAAAAGGAAGAGCAATAACAATGAAAGATTAGAGCAAGTAACCCATTGGAACTAGAAACTGACTAAGTCAAAAAAAGGCTTGCTAATTGCAATTAGAAACAGAGAGTGATCTGAGCAGATGCCATGTTAACAAATTTCAAATCATTGCAATTATTTGGTTGCTCATTACACCTGTAAGCATGTTAGATGGCTTGTTGCAGAAATCTGGAAAGCTGTTCTGTGAAAATTCATCACTACATTTAGCTTTTCTGGGACAGGCATCAAGACTATGAAGTTGACACTGCAATTATGGTGAATACTTTCCTGCTAATTATATATAATTTTTCACAACTGAAATATAATTAGCAAATCATCACCACCAGGTGCTGTATTACCTAACCAGTTATGATGAGGCTGCATTTACAGAACTCCACAAAATGACTGGTTCTACAAATGTCTGAATGGATTTCTTTCTTTTTCAGTTTTGGGTTCTTGTTTCCCATTAGAGTAAAGCAGCCTCCATATACATTCTAAGGCCAGAATGGACCATTGATCATCTACTTTGACCGCCTGCAATCTCAGTAGCCATTGCATCCCAGGAATGTTTGCATGGTCTTTTCAGAGCTTTATTTATTTTTATTTGTTTTTCTAAAGATAATGTGAATATCAGGAAATAAAAGACAACTGTTTGTTGAGGAGACAGTGGGAATAGGAGTCAGTGAGTTGGACTGGGATTCATGAGACCGGAATCAAGGCCTGACTCTGCTAGTGACATGTTTTGTGGTTTTCAGTAAAGCACTTTACCTCCCTGGACTCCATTTGCAAAATGGGGATAATGGTACTTACCCATCTTTTTAAAGTGCTTTGAGATCTTTTGATGAAAGGTGGTAAGTATTATTAGTAGACTAAATAACATTATTAGCTGTGCTTAATGACTGAAGCCCAGAAAATGCCTTCTAACCAGGCTGTATTAGATGTTGGCATTAAGAATGTTTTGTTTTATCAGCTAAAGAGGCATGAATTGTCTCCTCCAAAGTGGGTTACATTTTGATCAATATTGCATTGCATTGTAAATATTGCT